ATAGGAATGACAATGTTAACCTCTGATAACATAGACTTAAGTCAAAATTCATCACCAGACAAAGAAGGCTGTATAATAATTAAAGGATCAAACCACCAAGAAGACAACCATCATAAACATTTACATACCCAAAGACAGAGTTCCGAAACATGAAAACAAACTCTTAACAGTATCAAAAAGGTAAAGAAACAGTTCCGCGATAATGGTAGGAATTTAACACACCACTTCCAATGAAAAACAGAAAATCTAGAAAAAAACTCAAGACATCATAAAATAAATAAACAATCCCATTGTTATTTAGTGGATTCCATTTATAAATAATCAACAAAAATGACTTCATAGACATAGACAGAGCACTCTACCTAACAGTAACGCAGTGCACATTTTTCTACATCATAAATGCTTCATTTTCCAGTATGTACCAAAATTTAGGCCACAAAGCAAGCTTCAATACAATTTTAAAACGTGAAAATAATAAAAAATATCCTCTTTGATCACTGAGCAGCAAGACTAGACATCAGCACGAGGAAGAATTAAGGAAAAAATGAAATACATGAAAACTGAGTAGCACCTTGCTTAGAAACAACTGGACAATAAAAGAAATTAAACATGAAATTTAAAATATTTATGGAATCAAGCGAGAATGAAAGCACAACATACCGAAAGCTTTGGGACACAATAAGTGCAATACTCAGAGGAGAATTTATAATAATAAATAAATTTAAAATGAAGCAATATGGGGGGAAAGAAAGCAAAGGTCTTCCAAACACTCCTTTAAGAAACTAAGACCCATGTGAATGGAAAAACTTAATGTGCTCACTGATAGGAATACTTAGTGTTAAGAAAATGTTAGTACTATCCAAAGAGATTCATAGAAATAAAGCAAGGCTGACAAGATCACAACAGTCTTTAATGAAATATAAAAATAGATCACCAAGTTTACATGGAAATTACGTTGATCCTAGGTAAGTAAAGCATTATTGAAGAACTATGTAGGAGGCCTCACCTCCTGATTTGAGACCTGACTCTACGTCCACGGTTGTTAGAACAGCTAGACAGGCACATAGATCAATGGAAAAGAATTGAGAATCCAGAAATAAGGTCAGTCAGTCAGCTACACACAGCTGATCTTCAACTTACGTGGAAGTCTTCTCAATGTGATGACAAAACTTGCAGAAAAATGGATACACACCTAACACCATACTCGAAAACTAACTCAAAACCAATCCAAGACCTAATGTTAAACCTAAAACTATAAAGCTTATGTGATTTAAAGTAGGGACTAAGCCAGGGACCTTAAATTATGGCATAAATAGAATATCAAATATAATAAAAAGGCACAAGTAGCAAGACTTCACTAAAAGAATAAAAATAATACAGAGTAGGTAAGAAATAGGCAACAATATATCTGACAACGACCTAATGTATACATTTTATAGAAAACATCAAACTACAGCAACAAAAAGACAAACAAGCCAATTAAAATGAGCAAAGCCCATTATTAGCCCCTTATCAAAAAAGCTGATAATGAGGAATTCAAGAAGGATGAGAATGTTTTGAAACTGATTGTGGTAACAATTGTACAATACTGCTTGATATGATATCTGTATTAGCTCCCAATAAAATGTTTTTTGTTTTTTTTTTTTGCTGGGGGGGGGGGGAGGTGGTGGTGGAAGGAAGACAACCAGCAAACATTCAGAGAGGTAACTTGCAATCAGCCATTTTCACTGCCATCAAGTAAATTCCAACTCGTAGTGACCCTGTCGGCACGGTAGCACTGCCCCTGTGAGTACCGGGGCTTGTAACTCTTTATGGGAATAGAAAGCCTCATCTTTCTCCTGGGGAGTAGCTGGTGGTTTCAAACCCAATGTGTAACCACTACACCACCAAAGCTCCAGAATTCAGTCATTATAAAAAGATGCAAATCAAAACTACAATGAGATATCATCTCACCTCAGCAATAACGGCACTGATC